GTTTTTTTTGTTCCAGAATCGTATTTTTCAGGGGTGTTTATATATAAAGGGTAAAGCTGAGATTTAAACTTTCAGCATCATGTTGTAATAAGCTTAAAGTGCAACTGAACCCAAGAGAACATGCTGCTAAGCACTTCTGGAAAAAAAGGAAAAAAAGGGAAAAAAACATTCAAATTTATATCTTCTGATTTAGAAATATTTTAAAATCGGAAATACAAATCACGAAAAATATACATTACTCTTTTTTATTATCGGAGAAATTGGCATTTCTAGTTCTTGAATATAAGACTTAAGTACACTGTTATTGATGATTTGACCATTTCAACCAAACACAAGATATCGCAAACAATGAAAAACCTCCAGCCCAATTCCTTGATTGACGTCACTTCATTAGCATTTTCAATTTTCAAATGCCTTTAACTCAGAAAATAGAATTCAAACAATTTTTTTTTTTCAAGACAATGATTAGCATCATATTTGCCTTTTTAAAAAAATTATTTCCTAAAAGGGTTCAGTTGCACTTTAACCTATATAGATCTAATGTATAATATGCACTATGAACACGGCATGAACAACACACGATCACGGAGCAATCGACTGATGCACATGTATGTGACATCATGCATAGCCAGTTCATAACTTCTTTTTTTTTAAGTTGTTACAAAGATGGTCACATACAAGGCTTGACTGCAGGCTCATTGAAAGGTTTGTCAACAGGAAGAAAGCTTGGAATTGAGAAAGGGAAAGAGCTTGGATCTGAGGTAAAATACTTTTTTTCTGGATATTTTACTTTTAATTCCTCTTCCAGGAACAAAGTTACAACTATGTCCAGAAATAGCAAGTCTTGTTCTCTTCCTTCTTCGTTTTTTCTCTGTTTTCTTTCTTATTCTTTTCTTTCAGGCAAAAAATGAATGTGTTATTAGTTGCAACATTAATCACACCGTGATTGGCTGTTTAGAGTGTGTATGACTAATACCATGGCTCTCAGGAATTATTAGTGATAAGCGTCCCCCAAGCAGAATTATTTTTACTCAACCTCCTGAAGCTGAGGGGACAGTTATTCTCTATTATACCAAAGAAGCCTTGACAATGCATTGTAATACTATTATCACCAAGGAAATATACTAAAACAAATGGATAAAACATCAGTGCAATTAAATTAAATTTAGCCAATTAAGTCCACTGCAGGCATTTCACTGATGTTTTATCCATTTGTTTTTTTGTTTTTTTTCACTTGACAAGGGATGGTTTTTTGATAGCCAAGACAAAATTTCAGATGTTCCTTGAAGAAATGTTTTTATTGGGGATAGCCAAATAACAGTCTAGTTTATGACTTTACTTACAAAAATCATATTGACCAAATGGTTCTACAAATAAATGCTTGTGACTTGTAGCTTGCCTTGAAATTTTGAGTCTACAGAGACTTGTCAATTAAGTCACATGAAACATGCTACATCATGCAATTAGTCTGTACAATTTCACACAGATACTTAAGATCAGTTTTAACATACATGTATTTAATATTCAAATTCAAAATATATCACCAAAAAATACATGTTCCAATGTATCTGTAAAAATATAGTAAAAGTATTCTTTAATTGATTTATTTGCTTAGATTGGTTTTTACAGTGGATTTGTCTCAACCTGGCTGATTCTGCTTGAATTTTCTGAGAAAAAGAAACCAAGGTATTGAAAAGTGATCATTTTATGTTTATTCTCTTCAAATAATGTTGATTGTGATATGTACAAAAACCGTAAAGAGTGTCTCAAGGCTAAGGAAGCTTGACTGTTGTATACCTTGTCTTGGCATCAATCCAATTAGTGTCATTAATCCAGACAACAGAACAAATTCCACAATGGTTATTGAACAAAAACTGAGACAAAAGCATTGTCACAACTACATTTTTAATTCAAATTTTTGACCTCTCAGGCCAAGAAAATAAATACTTTAAAAAGATGCCTATAAAATAATCAAAGTCGCCTTTTTGTTATTGATAAACAAAGTTTCTTCTTGTTCTAATTTGAAATCTTTGCTCAAACAAGACTGTCTAACTCTAGAATTCAGTTTTGTAAGCATACTACTCGAAGCTCCGTGCGATCCGCACATGCGTGTACTTCTGATGCCAAAACTGATGCATTTCGAATGAGATCACAGATACCACATTTGTAAATGAATAGTTTTTTATCACATAAAAGCACAAGTAGCATCTAACATTTACTAACAATATTCGTACATCTATAATACGTTTGAGCTTCAGGTCATGAAATAACACAGACAACCTAAGTTAATTATGAAATTCTTAACTTCCGGTGTTCCAAACGTGACAAAATACACAGATAGATAGATTGATTGGCTAAAAGGTAAAACTCAAGTCGACCTAATCTTCAGCTAGTCCGACTAATAATAGTGGACACACTTTTACATGTTTTGTATGTATTTTTCTGTAAACTATTGAATATTTTATTTTTGGCAGAATAATATCATTGCTTAACAGCATCAAGGCCCTAATAGATGAGTTACCACTTAYAGATCCAACCAGTGAAATTCTTTTTGCAAATATTGAAAAAGTCAGGTCAAAGTTTAAGCAGGTAASTATTTTTTGCAAATTTAGTTATAAATTACAATTTTGTAGCCCTGAAAAATARGAGTTTGACCAATCAAATCCAGTTTATGCCGTTCAACTTTACTGGTCACAATTCGCTGAAGTTCAAATCTCCAAATTTGGTTTTCAAAGCATGTAGACKAATTATTAGGAAAAGGAAATAAAACAGCAAAAGCTACGATTTTTGTAGTAAAATTGACTGTTCATTTCATTGCAGCCTGTTTTTGTTGAGAAAAAAACATTCAAGTGCTTGTAAATTTCAAACTCCAGACATCTCATCTTGATGCCTCTGATTGTAGTATGTGCGTAGTCTTGAAAGCTTGAAAGCCCTATTACCAGCCGTTATTTCGAGCCCTGTTAATGCTCAACACTTTACCTTGTTCTTTGCAAGCACCCTGCCATTATTAATAGGTTATAATCGCAATAGTAGACATGGTGGCTTTCATGTTGGGCAATCAATTATTAGTTAGTTGATTGTTAGTCAATCACTTGCTTGTTGTATTAAGACATCTTCATACATGTAGATTATTTACTTTTGCATATAATCGGATAAAAAATTATGTACCTAAACAAGTTGAAAGTGAAAGGTTTGCTTCATTTGATTATTATTTATGTACAAATTTAAAGAAAACTATAAAATTGTCTCTGACGAAGGATTAACGTTCGAAACTTCAGTAAGTTATTTCACATRCTTTTTTTACGGTGTTAAATTTATCTTSCACAACTGTTTCTTTAGAAACATAGACACAGCTCACACTAGTTTACCGCTAGTTCCCACAATTTTATAAAAGTGTATGGTAAACCTGCTRAAATATATCCAAATGGCCCATGGAGCTACTGTGAAAAAGACTTGTTGAAATAACATGGTAACTGCAAAGGCTCCCACTAGACACTGATAATTGTATACAGTGTAGGAACAATAGGCCTTGTCCTTATCCGTTTACATTTATAGAAACACCTTGTTGTAAATATTGTTGATCGTTTTTAATATTTGGTCTTGCAGATCTGCTCCCTACTTGATGTCAATCCAGAAAAGATTTCTGGAAACAAAAGGAAAATCTTGTCGTTTTGAAAATTGATGAAAGTCATGATATAGTGTCTGTGTAATCAGTAACCTGCCATAATGTAGCTACCATCTGTGTATGCACTAGTAGCCACACTCTCACAATGAGGTTATTGAAGGTACCGCAGTACAGTGTACTTTTACTGCTATGCTTCTTGCACATTGAATACCAGCACCAAAGGTATTGATGACCGATGGCTTTGGTTGAAACCTTGCATGGCTCAGTGACTGGGACTTTCAAAGGAAAAAAGTGAAAAAAAGACATTGATGGTATTATTAGAAACCATGGTGGGATATTTTTTCCTTGGTTCCTCATACAAATTGCAATTATTGCAAGAAATAAAAAATAGAAAAATTAATAATTTGTTTAAATCCAAAACAAAACAAAAGCCTTGGAGCATGCATGGATGGATACACAAGGGTAGATTTTCAGAGTTCAAAAATATAGTTAATAGAAAATATGATATAAGTGAGTTAAAGAAATTAATGAATAAATTTAGTTTAAATGGGTCTTATTCTGAAAAACAACTAAAGCAACTTTCATTTCAAAGAAATTTCAGTACCTAGTACATGTATCCATTTTATCATCATTGTTGGTATTTTTTATTTATTTTTTTCCATGTCAAGTGATTAGCCATTTGCTTGTAACTTTCTTTATCCGCCACTGGGCGTGAGTCAGTAAAATGCTAATCGTCTGACAGTGAAGAAAAGGAGACAACTAATTGACAAAAGACTAATGTGATTTTTATGGTGGCCCACTAGGGTCATGGCAACCAAGAGCTTCCAGCCAAATAACAAGAACCCATGGCAAAATAAAAAGAACACACTGCAGGGCAAAGAAAAAAGAGTGACAACATGCACTCTTTTTCTTTTGCTGTAGTTTTTCCTTTGTAGTGACCTTTACGGGTCGATGTCATGGCCCAGAGAGGTCACAGCAAAATAAAGCAAAGGAAAAAAAGATAACACGACAGATCATATATTTGATTATATTGAAATTACTGTGAAATATTAGGTTAAACAGAAAGAACGCATTTTTTCAGTATTTATTCATAATTTATTTTTCTATTTTTTCATTTATCGATTTATTTAATTATGTGGGTATTTATTTTACATTTATTTACTCATCCATTTGTTTATGTACTTATCTTTTTACTTTATCAGTTATTAATTTTATTTTCTTTGTATTTCTTCATTCATTCATCTTTTTATTCATTTTCATGTTTACTATTTCCCTTCCCTTCTTCATTCATATATTCAACTCACAAAAAATGATTGACGCTTAAAAAGCTTTATTTTGCCGCAGACGATCGTCTGATTTTGTCGTGACCCTTCTGGGCCATTATCGGCAAAAACGGTCACTACAAAGAAAAAGGCGGCAAAAGAAAATGATCGCATGTTGTCACTCTTTTCAATTTGCCGTGTGTTCTTTTTATTTTGCTATAAGATTTATTTGCCGTGACCATTGTGGGCCGTAACCTCGTTCCCAGGACCCTATTCCTTTGTTTGTCAGGCGACAAACTGGATACAACCTGCGTATTTACGGAATTGACATTTCAAAGACCAATTTCGTGTCATTTTAAAAGAATAAGCAACCTGAGACAACACAATAAAGTACCTTTTGGTAGAAGAAAATGTCTCTCGCCTGACTAATTCCTGGTGGTCGTCTGTTTGCGAGGATTACACARTACAGGGGAAATTCACTGGAACAGCAATTCAACTGTAACAAAGCAATAGCATATCAATTAAAACCTGGATATTATTTTTTATCAAAAAAAAAGAATGAAGGACAAGACGCATGAGAATCTGTTATCAAATAAATCAGTGGTTATCCGCTTTCAACTCGAAAATGAAGAATTGTAAAGTATTGTATAGACTCACGCCGACTTGGACGAAGTTCAATCATTGGAGGTCTTGTTAAAATTCAAACTCAAGCCTTAGCCTCTGAACATTTATAAAAAAATCTAAATGTCGAAACTTTATTTTCGAAAACGTGGCTAAACATCCCAACAGAAGACAAAATAATTTTTGAAACATAAAAAATGTATGTAGCGGCAAAAAAAGCTTGTACGGGATTTTAACTAAAAATTCAAGCCTATAAACAAACATTGCTAGTAATACTTCTAGCTACATATATTGCCCAAGAAAATCATGAAAACGTTCAAAACTGAGACTTCCTCAATTAATAAAACTGGGCTGGCTGTTCATTTTTGAGAACGTTCACACGGTATTATAGTTTCCTTATTTGCCGCAGGTTGTTGTACTGTTAGGAAAATTCACATTTTCTATCTCAATTTTCTTTGTTTATACACTGTAAAAATGCCTGGTTAAATCAACCAAAGATTAGGTTATCTCAGATGAATGCCTTTTTTGTTTTGTTTTTTTTTTGCTTTTTGTTTTTCTTTCACGTGAGACTAACTGGTTTTTTTTTTTTGTAGTTGTTGCTGTTGTTTTTTGTCTTGTTTTTGTGCATGTGTCGGC